AAATAAATTAAAAGAGTTTGGGGCTGAGGGGCGGGGGGGAGCATGAGGCACCGTTCTCTTGCGTTCCCCGAGGGTCCGTGCCGAGCGGGGTCCTCCCTCAATTCACCAGCAGCGCGTTGTCTTGTAAAGGAGCCCTGCGGGGAGAGAGCGCTGGGGGTTAACGGGGGGAAATCCGATGAATTTGGGGAAGATGGATTCGATTTTGGAAACGAGACTCAGCTGTAGCTAAAGGGAGACACCCCCACACACCCCCCATACCCCAGAAACAAACAAAGTGGGAAGCGCGGAGCCACGAGGGCAGCGAGGGGTGGTGGGAACGTGGGGAGCCCACGTACCCCCGGTTATACCCACGCGGAGGGGTCCCCGCAGGCACCGAGCCATTTTGGGGCGTCGGCAAGAGACACACGGGCACGGAAAAGGGGCTGGAAAAATCACAATCCACGTGGGATCACCCACGTACGAGGAGCCAGCGGCAAAAATACCCGTAAACCCTCCTCTCCTGGCACGCAGGGAGATAACGGGGGTGTCGCAGAGCGTACCCGTTAGCCAGAAGCCCCCACCTTGTTGCCCCCGCCCCCCGAAACACCGGCACTGCCCGCTTACCGCTCGCAGCAGCAGAAGACGGAGCAGGACGAGGCGCTGTCGCGACGGTACTTGCCCGATTTAGGGCTGTCCTTGCACTGGGCGATGTAGGCGTGGAGCTGGGAGACAGGCGTTTCGCCTTCGCACTGGTGCTGCGGGGAAAGGGGACGGGGTTCGGTGACTCCCCCCAAAAAAAAACCCCCAGCAAGCTATGAAGCTTTGCTTAACTACCAGGGTCTTGGTCTCACCTTGATGGTCTCGTAGGAGCCGGTGATGAGGGCGATGAAGAGGCTGAGGACCATGTAGATGAAGAGGCTGATGAAGGTGTACAGGTAGATCTGGCTGAAGAGCCACACCAAGTAGCTGTTCTGTTGCATCTCGGCGAAGGTGACGAACATATCGTCCCCGTTGATGAGGGAAAAGAGGCACTCGGACACCATGGAAAGGGAGCGGAACTGGGATGGGAGGTGACAAAAGGGTTGGTAGTCGGTCCAAGGCATCGTGTCACCTCTTTCCTCTCCCGGTTGGAAGCTTCCGAACAGGGATCGAGCTCTCCCCGACACCCTACGTGTCACCCCGATATCACCGAGCCACGAGGAGAGAGGCCGTGGCAAAGAGCGGCACCGTATCTAACCCACTCTGCCAAAACAGCGACCGGCCTCGCACCCATCTCCTCCTAAATCCGGGCAGGGAATCACCCGGAGGTGGGTGAAGCCCACCCCCAACCACTGACTCGGAGAAGCACCTTGACGTGGTACGGGCCCAGCACGATCCATCCGCAGAAGCAGTAGCCCAGATAGATGACGGCCACGCAACAGCAGAAGCGGATGACGTTGGGGAGGGCCACCCGTAGCGTGACGATGAGGATCTGGTGGAGGAAAACCAGTTGGGATTAAGCCCCGTTTTCC